TATATATATATATATATATATATATATATATTCAACCTATATAATCCACATCATACAAACTTGCCATATAACTCTATAAATTATTTTAACAGCAACTGATCAGCTAGACCAAACCTTTAACCTTCTATGCAGCAAAATAAGACAGTTGAAATATATTAATAAGAATGCTAAATGAGAAAGTCAGTTTTACAATATATTTAAATTCTAAAATTTGCACTGCTGGTACTATTGATTTTTGTGTTAACATCAAAACTAACAAAACTTTTTACAAAAGTTTACTGAAGTGTTCTAAGTACAAAATTCACATACAGGGTGATGCAAAAGTCAGGCAACATCATGATATTCCTAAGTCTCACCTTTATTACAATTTTTCAATTATGTGTATATTTCACTAACTGTCTCTTTTTCTTCTCTTACAATAACTGATTGGTTTGGATGTCACTATTCTTGAAAAAACATAAGTGAGCAAAAGCCTGAGTGAAAGAGTGATCTACATTGTGATATCAGTGGTGCATAATTCAAATAACTGAAAGGACAGCCTTCGACAAGTCATGGTAGTATGTGAACTTTGAATTTCCTTGCATGAAATAAAATGTGACACTTGCAATTCTTTTTATTCAAGCATTGAGGTTTAAGGACTTAAATCCACTAGTTGAATTTATTTAAAAAAATTTTATTTCTCAGTAATATGGAATGACACAGTAAAAATAGTCACTGTACATGGGGTATGTGGAGTAAATAAACTCCAGTCAAAAAATGAAAATTATCATAAATAAAACTGAGAATTCTTACTTTTTCTTGGCCAACAGCCAGCCCTATTAGACTCACACATTCTATAGTTTTGCCTCTCAGAAGACGTAGTTCTTCAGTATTTGCATTTTGAATTATATATTTCAAGCATGGCATAAACCTAAATAAAGAATTGTGTCCTTTAAAACAAAGCACATAATGATACTAGTGTACTTGGTACAATGTACATATAATTTTATATGTAAAAAGGTTGCAATTGTTTTAAAACACTTTATGATCTAACAATGCCAATACTGACCTTACAAATTCAAAATTGCTAAAGGTCAGCTACAATTGTTGAAAAAAACATTTTCAGTACTTAAAATCTCTCTCTAAGCACGAACATGAGATACAGTAGCAAGCCTTTTACAACAAATACACAATTTACCATGAGCATCAACATCTCTGCCTACCTCCCTGAAATAAAAAAGAGAGAACTAAAGGAAACTTAATGCTGTATATTTTATGAAAGACTAAGTAGTTAAATAAACAGTCAACCAATTTTTGGATAATTATCACAATTTGCTCCATTCTAGTTCACAAACAATATAAACACAAGTATAAGTCCAAAGCCTTCAATCTCTACTCAATACTTGACATAAACCAAGCTATGATTTTATACCTCAGCAGAAGCATGATGTAAAAATTTCAAATTTGTTGTAAAAGATTATACAAAAAACAAAACAAAACATTAACAACATTTACTACTATTTATATTACAGTACATAATCTTCAGAAAAATATTTTGTAAGCATTTCATGTGTGAATTCTTTCTAATGGACAATACTGGTGTCATTTGTTTTACTTCATTAAAGTATGATTCTAATATTGCAAGATATTTCACCTGGTGTTTGTTTTTCTATTAGTTTCTGACACTGAAGGCCTACAAAACTGATTCCAGTGTTTATGAAATAAGATACAAACAATTTAATATATCTAAACAATAGCACAAAATTTAATACTAGTATACCATATCTATATATGAAATGTATTCATACACCACTGTATACAAAGTGTATACTCTGTATACACTTTCAATACACAGAGCATGGTCAGCTGTTAAGAGGTGGATTAGAGAAAGTTAAAAAGAGGAAAATTTTACTTAACTACTCCACCATCATAAATTATTTATGAGAATCTGTGCTTCAGGCATAGGTTCAAGCCAGAAAAGCACATTGACCGAGACTGTCTAAACTCACAGAGAACCAATTCTGGTGGACTCCCTCCTGTCATGTTTGGCACACTCTCAAGAAGTACACCCTCCCAGGTTAGTAGCCACTGATATATATATATATATATATATATATACATACACACACAACATAACTTACTAATTAAAAACATGTTTTCTTACCTATCATAATACTGTACAAACTTTTCTTCGGCACTGTCTGCTACCGATGATAGAGTTACTACTACTTGTTCTAAAACCAATTTTGTGCCTTTTTCAACAAGCTGAAATATTATACAAAATACATAATTTTCATTGCTACAGCATGTTTCTACTATTATAATTGAAATCACGTTTACACTTGTTGAATATTCCATGTACAATCCCAAGAATCACACTTTACTTACCGTGAAAAAGAATGAAGAAAGTTTTCTTTCTTTACTTTCTAGATAATTGGCACCAACAATTTTGTACAAACTCGTATTAACTCTTACCCTAAAGTTCATAAGAATCAAAGCAAAATTTACTAGTTTCTTTAAAATGAAACTTTAAAACTATATAAAATAAGTACATTTACACGGAATTTCAAAAATTTGGTCATCTTGTGCATATAAAAAATCAGGCCAAATAATAGTGAGATTTTACTTTGTAAATGTTAAATTTATCAATCAACCATTAAATTACCAACATTTTTTATATTGCTCACTACAAGTAAGGTCCATATAATCCATCACATAGAGTAATTTTTTTTTGGTTTAATGTAATGAACTAACCAAAACAACTGGAAGAAATCACTCATTTTCTATGTAAAATATATAAATGTCTGGAGGGTGGGGTAATTATTTACTAGGGACTCATTATTAAACCAAGAAAGTCGTGCAGTTACACAATATTTAGGAAAATGTTTATAAAAAGCCAACAGGGTCCACATGGACCCCAATGGTTATACTGGGATTAACTTTTTAGAACAAATTAAGAGTGTAAGTGCTGTAGTCAAAGTATACAACAATTATGAAGCAGTTTTACTAACTTTTAAATATCCATTGTTCAGTTTGGTAGATTTTGATGTATTAACTTCGACCCAACAAGAATAAAGAAGTCAAAATTAAATATTCTTAACCAAGTAGTGTTAATATTCAAATATGTGCTATAAGGTAGGGTTAGTTGTATATTTCTACCTTCTTAAAAATAATAATAAAAGATCTGCATAATCATCAAAATCATGTAATTTGAAACAGTATTGCAACAGAATTTACAAAGATTGCCAAAATATAATTTTTGAGGTGCCATATTCAACCCCATCTAGACCACAGAGATTCTTCAAGGTGTCAAATGTACAAAAAAGTTCATCAAAATTTTAATGAAAATAATAATTCCAACACCATTTCATCCTTTGAAAATATAACTGCCTATGTTTCATTGCTCGAATGATTTTCCTTCTGTTACTTGTTTCATTATCACAACCATTCATTCCCATCCTTTTACAATGTCACAGAACCACTTTGAAAATATGAATGGATAGAGCACATTACACAGTATCTACATAAACGTAGAGTAAATAAAGTTGTTTAAGTGGGAATTTATGGTTTTGGGGGGAAAGTAACTAGCCAGTACAAATAATCTAATGCTATGTTTATAGTATTCAAACAATTTTTAATAATGGTGTACATTTTCTCTATATTTTCAAAAATGAATTTAGTTGAACATGTTTTTCCACACATTTCTTTAACACACAAAGTTAATTCTATCATACCAAGATGGGTGCATCTGGTCAAGAGGCAAAATTGCATCACTGAATTAAACAAATTACAAAAAACATAATGTAGTCATTCTTCCACACATAGATGAAATTTATTGAATAAAAATGTTTGATTTAGAGTTGATTTCAGCGTGCTATGAACAAAAACATAGCAATTTGTGAATTTCCTGAATTTTTAAGAACATAATACAGTGCTCATAGCCCCTTAGGAGAAAAGTAAGAATATTTATGAACAAAATAGCATTAATCTGAACCTTGAAACTTAATGTAAGTGTAGTACTTTTATTGATTTTAGCCAATCACCATTTCTCAACCTAAATTGTCATGATGTGATGTAATGGCCTATATGTCAACTTTGATAAGCCATAGGCTAATGATCTAAACACAAAATGACCCCCCCCCCTTTTTTTAGTTCTTTTCAACTATGTAATTCAATATGACTTCTAGTTTAATGAAGAGATTGGCAAAGTGATATAACTTAGCTTAGTGATAGGTTTTCTAGAAAAAAACAATGCTTGTGAACTACCACCACATTACAGTCTTGATTATGACTTTATACTTCATTTGAATTATGATGTTGCAGTATAAAAAAATGTTTTCATAAAACAAGCTAAGGTATGTTTAGTTAGATCATTTTGCACTCACCCACATCAAATTATGTTCTGTCAACAAGGTTGCTGTGTTTAAATATATTACATATATTGAATAAACCCTTCTGTTTAATAATTAATAAGAAAATTGACTTATGTATAACTGGTATGGTAACAATTATTGTTATTGTATGCTAGTGCTTCTATACAGTCAAACTATGTAGTGTTCTTTGAATCAAATCAAAACAAAGACAAGATTTGTGGTTTTATAAAATTAAGTTCATGATACAGTTTTACAAGCACATAGGAAGACATAAAAATCAGTAATTGAAAACTTGAGCAATGGTAAGCATTTTAATCATTTCTTGAAAAATATATCATAATGAAATCTTTTTCAATTTTTAAAGCTGTGAATTCATACAAACATCAGAAATGAAAATATTTATTTGCAGAAGTTAGATAATCTGTAGGGAGTTCATCTCATATTTTGAGCTATTTTTTCATTTACAATGCAATAAAAAAAATCATAAAATAGGCATTTACAATCAAAACACCTTGGTATTTGAGTTAGTTGTATATCATTAGAACTTTCTGATTAATCTTCTACTTGTTTACATTTTTCACATGATATTAATGAAGGCCATGATAAAAAAGATTGAGAACCACAAGATGAATAAACTGAAAATGTTTGTATTGTGAGAAGAATTGCTGTACAATATAAATAGTTCACAGCAACTATTAATCTTCACTATCTTCACCTACATTTTGTGGACCCTCAACAACTTCTTTTTACATATTATCACTTTCTAGGTTAATTCAATATGATATTTTTAACTGAAAAAATGTAGTTTGTCTCTTGCCAAATATGAAATCTCAATGAATTGTTTTTAAAACAATTTATTTTTCCTCAACTCTGAATGTTAAGACTTCATCCAACTGATGTTGTATGGTAACTTTCATTCAGTGTTCAGGATTTAGTTTCAAGTCCAACAAGGTTTATTTAGTATACTTTAGATGGTTTAACACAATTATCCTTTTCTAGTGCTGCTCTTAAAATTCCTTTAGTAAATGCAGCATTTTCAAGCCAATGTGACTTAACTTTTTTGTTTTCTACACAAATTAAATTATGTTTCTACAATCCATACTTTCCAAATTGAGCCTTTGGGGGTGGGGACCAAGTCTTTTGATTCAGTTCTGTGTAGAAACCATTATAACATAACTGAACATTATAATTTTACTGTCAAATAATAAAATTTTCTACTGATTGTGTGCATACAACATGCTCTGACCAAATATGCTACAGCTTTAGTGCATGTAGGAAAATATATTGTACACTGCATATCAGTGGCAGTACACATGCATTTTTTTTTCTATGGTAACAACTTATAAAATGTTACATGCCTAAGTTTTTGATAATGAAAATACAAAAAGAGGCTAGAGTAAATAGCTTAGATCAGGCCATGGTTTCAGAAGTTTTAAAATTGCTATTGAATTCTGTAGGATACAAATCACAGTATAACGAAAACTGCTATATACTATTTTAATTTTCTGTTATAAGAGGGGGAGGTATTTTGTGTCAGAAAGTACAATATGATACCACCTATTTCCATTCTTGAACATATAAACTGTTCATACAACTTCCTTTTGAGGCTTCAATAAGTGGAACTATAAAACAGATTCAATGCTTTAATGATATTTATAAATCTATTTCACCTACCTCTTTGAACTTACAGCTCAGGACACCTTCCAGAGTGCTAATGATTTTATCAAGGTATAGAGCTACAACAGATTTTGGACAATCCTCAAAAAAGTTGACCAAAGCTGCCCCAGCATGAGCCTGGACTCTGGGAAAAGCTGAATTTTCCAGGATCATTAATAATCCAGGAAGGACCTTAAAATAAGCAGAAATATTAAGTTATTTAGTTAGCTGCCCCATAAACCATTCTAGAATGTGAAAAATAGCAAGAAAACATTTTAAATCAGTTATAATATTATAAATCAAATAACTTTCTATTTCAAAAGTACATTTAAGAAGTTTTGCAAAAATCTAAGTTTTTTAGAAAAATTTCAAATGTCACACACAATTTCAGGAATATTCCTACTAGTCCTGAAACAAATAGTTGATTTTCCTACTTGAATATTCATCACTCATATTTGAATATTCGACAATAAATACAATGAAAATATCATTGTTCCCAGTATGCTCTTAATAAAGAAAGGTCTACCTTTTTGAAAATACTCAGTTTAGGTATATATTTTGTCTTAGTTTTTTTTTTCAACCTACATGTTTTCATCAAGAACAAGACATCATGTCTTGTTCTGTATATTTGTTATAACTTGCTTTCTACAAGTTGAAAGCAATTACTCATACATCAGTATCAAATTTACAGGCTGAATACAAGATACTAAATAATATTTAGCATAGATTTCATTGTCAAAACTACTTGCATTCAGGATCATACATATATATCTGAAAATAATCCTGCCCTTACACCACTATATAATAAATACGTCAGACTACATTACAGTCAACTTGGCTGTGTCATACTTAACTATAATTAGTAACTCCTTTTTAAATTGCTATTTTTATTCATTTTTAGTGCTGTTGGAAGCATTTACTACCAAATGTTCATAAGTTTGAATTTATCAATATCTAAAATTGTTATAGTTTCTTTTTCATGGATTTGACGCACAATGAAAAGTTCTAATATTTATTACCTCACAAAATATTTGTATCTATCAGGTGATTTGAGTTGTTTTACCTAAAATATTTATGATCCAATTCATTACACTTCACATACTCACATGTGATTCCTTCACATTGAAGGAAACACTATGAACTGTGGGAAAGAATGATTTTTTTTCAATCGGCAAGCAAAGGCATTGTAACCATAATATTCCAAGTTATGAAAATTATGTACTGTAATGAATACTGAACATGAGTTGGCTTTGTTTAGTAAAATGCCATTTATCATTATGATGATGGATAAATAGACATGATGATATGTATTAACAGTTTGTATTCAGAGGTGGAATTTGTTAAAATATGCTAATGTTTTGTATTCTAGAATAAAAGTGACATTTGGACTGTTTATAACACAAGGAAACTAAGTCCTTGAAAACACAGTACATTAAAAACATCTGAAAATTTTAATACCAAATTCTTGTTTAAATATTCATTATAAAGAATTCTTATGTGGATATTCATTTCAGCTCTAATACCTACATCATGTGAAAAACCTAAAGGTTAGAATTTTAAATGAAGCTGAAAATCACTAGAAATAAATATTATAAGCACAAGCTGTTTCAGTATGAAACAGAAGGATAATTCATAACAATGTAAACCAACAATACAAGATCAATCAATCAAATTATACAGATCATCAGAAAATGAAATATCTAAAACATTAAATTTATAACTTTGCAAGTTTATATTACGTAAATATAAGAGGTAGGTTGAAACTACACTAAATACGAAATCAGCAAGAAAACTTAAATTTTATAATATTTGATAACTCAAAATGTGCAAATGTGGAAAAAACCATTACTTTATGCTTGAAACAAAATTGTACTTAGTAAGTACGATGTAGTAAAACTGGCTTTCAGAATTTTCCTAATAATTACACATTTCCATATACTGTAACAACAATCTATGTTATGAGAATGTATATTGGAGTTCAAATGGCAGTCAGTAAAAACATTGACTTTAAAAGCGTTTTTAAAAAGATCAACCTTTTTAAGTAACACTAGGAATTTTCTAGTGAATTCCTTTTCTTTAAAAGGACCATATTTACCAGGATATTCTATTAAACATCCAAGAACAAAGATTAATTTTTAGAATTCAGTATTCATGTATCACTACTGCAAGTTCTACAATAGCTATATTGTACTGAAGAAGCACAACTTATATTAAATTGGAATTTCAAAAACTTCTGCTTTAAAGAATACAATCAATGCCACAGATATTTTTGGTAAATTAATGGTCTTCAGTTTTGTAACTGATCTACATACTGTTCTCTATGCCTGTTAATCTTTCATGATACAGTTCCTCTAAGTCTGTTGATTTTTTACTAAATCATGGATCTGATTATCTTTACTGTTGATTTCATTAATATAGTTTCTCTGGGTCTGTTAATTTTATTTAATGTACTGATCTCTAGTTCTGACGACCTACAAGTAAAGAAAAAATTTTTCAAAACATGCAGTAAATGTAGGGATGGCTAATATCAGGCCTTCAATAACAATGCATGGATAGCACTTGCATCATCCCTACATAACATCACAGACACACAGTGTAGTAAAATGTCAACACAAAAAAATAGGATAAATTAAACTCAACTGTGATTGAATAGTTATATATATATTGCTATATGTTAATTCTTGCCTGTTTTATTATGTAGGGATGATGCAAGTACCAACCCTACTATCTTGTTTGCATTCTTTTTGAAGAATTAATATTAGCAATCCCTAAATTTACTTCCTTTTTTGAAAAGTTTTTTTCTTTACCTGTTTGCTGTTGTTTTTTTAATGCAGTATTTAAATAGACATAGGAAGGTTGTGTATATAACCAAGTTCTAAATACAAGGAGACTCCAACTGTAATATTTATTATTCATCTATTATTGGCTGGTAATTCCTGTTTCACCCTGTACTTAAGCTTTTAAAAGGAACAACAAATTTCTGTAAGAAAGCTAACTTCAAAGGGTAATGATAACATTGTTTACACCAGAATTATGATTTAAAAAAAAAATACTATTAGTAATTTATAATACTTATAAAAGCAGATACTCTGTTTGAAACTATGTCACCTTAGTGAAATTGGTTGACACCATTGTTTTGG